ATGACGGTCACAACCTCATTACATATTTGAATTTAATTTTTTTCTACAAATCCAAATTACTTGAAATTTTGGGTGTGTTATTCAAAAATATTAAAATCTAATAAAAATATCAAAAAAATAATTTGCATGAAATAAATAAATTGGTATCAAAGCCAAGTTCTATATAAAATTTGCAAATTTGATATTATAACTAATCCCAAAGTCGCTGTGACCCTTGGGTTTTTAGGTTAAGAGTCAAAATTTTCAATAAGTTTGGATCAGATGAGGACACATAGAAATTTGGTTATACCAAAATCTATATCTTGAAAACAGGTAAATTTATATAAAAACTGGTCTCTGCAATCTATGACCCGTTTACCAATTCCTAAAAATACTGAGCTAGAACAAATTGTTGAATATCCCAATGGAGAGATATAAATCCAATTTCCATCCTTCAAAACAACAAGGACAAGTATTTCAAATACTGTCTGTGGTTCCGAGAATTCCAAAATTGGACCAAAAGATTCTGAAAACCAGATGGTTAAAATTGAAGCCATACCCCACATAATAGAGCAAAATAATTATACAAATCTTTTCCTACAAACCATAGGAAAACAAACTAATAGGATAGAGAATGTCCTAAATATAATAAAACCTCAACACCGGGACAAGAAAGAAGAAAAAGATAAGCGAGCAGTTTTATTCAAACCACCTCCTAGTATTGCGGCAGGAAAATTCAACCTACAGGGGATCAAAAAGAAAGAGGATAACAAAGAATTAGTAAATGAATTGGTAGAACGACTTGAAAAATTAGATATAAAAGGAAAATCAAGCGATGTTTAAGTCCTCCAAGAAGATAAAAGTTTTTCAAATCTAGAGATATCTGAAATAGAAAAAGCTTTTAAATCAGAAAGCTTAGAAATTAATAGAATAGATTATGGGAGAAAAACTAGGCCGGTGGCACCAATCAGAATGTACTATCCTGGACCAACTCCTGTAGATCTTCAAATAGAGGAAGACCTTATTGCCAGTTTAGTTTCTTATTCAGGAAGATCCATAGTAAATTGGAATATAGATGGGATGTCTGAAATCCGATTCTTGATCTTATGAAACATATGACCATATATGCCACCGCATGTAAAGCAAGTGGAAATCAAGACCACAAAATTGCTAAAGCTATTATATGTGGATTTACCGGATGGCTTAGAGGATGGTGGGATTTCCACATAGATGAAGAAGCCAAAGATCAAATTCTAAATGTTGCTAAACAATATAATATAAAGACTGAGGTCGGACCAGGACAGATCCTAGAAAATTTAGTGATTGAGGGAGATGCCGTAAACACTTTAATATATATCATTACACTTCATTTTGTGGGAAGTACGACCCTTTTATCTGCTAGATCTGAAGATCTACTTTCAAACTTACGTTGCTCAACTCTCTCACATTTTAAATGGTATAAAGATGTATTTTACTCCAGACTGTTATCTAGGGAGGATGGTAAAGCCGATCATTGGAAAGAGAAATTCATTGCTGGACTTCCTAATCTTTTTGCTGAAACAGTTAAGATAAGATTAAAAAATAAGCATGGAGGAATTATTCCCTATTCCTTATATACCCTTGGAGAACTCTCAGCAGAAATCTATGCTGAAGGTCTTGCATTATGCACAGACATGAAATTGAAGAGACAATTAGAAAAGCAAAGAATAACGGGAAAAAAGGAATTAGGAGACTTTTGTGAGCAATTTGGGTTTAATACTTTGCCAACTTCCAAACCTACTCAGAAACAAAAATGTAGAGACTCTAGAAAACCTAAGTCTAATTATAAGAGAGAAAAGAAAAATACTTTTCTTAAAAAATTCTTACATGATCACTCTTATTAACAAAAGGGGAAAAGAAAAATACCAGTTTGTTACAACTGTGGGAAGGAGGACATTATAAAAATAAAAGTAGAGTAAAAAAGAAAATAAATGCTCTTGAAATAGACCTTGAAATCAAAAAACAGTTATTCGATATTTTATTAATTAAAAGGGATGAGTCTGATGAATCTTCTGACTCTGATGAAGAATTGCTTATCGAAGAAATAAATGATGAAGATTTAGTTTTTTCGAGTTCAGACTCTGAAACAAGTTCTGAAGAAAAAACTAATATCCATTGTCATTGTGATTTCTTAAATACACTCACAAAAGAAGAGAATCTAATCATCGACTTAATTGATAAAATAAGTGATCCCGGGGCTAAAAGAGAAGCCTTGATGCATTATATGAATATGACCAAAGAACCCTCTAGTTTTTCTAAACCTTCTCTTAGAAGATTATAGTTTTATGGATATCATAAAAAGAGTTCAAATTTAAAACTCAAGTCCACAAAGGACCTATAATTTTTTATCTAAAAAATGAAATAAATGAAGTTCGAAATGAACTTATAACTCTAAAAACCAGAGTACAAATGCTAGAGATGGCAACCACTAAAGAAGAAAGTGGTAGAGAAAATGCTGAACAAGAATTTAATGATCTAATACAGAATTATAATCATAATCTTTTACCACCCGAAATTGAGGATACTCTCCCAAAAGTGATAGATGATCCGTAAACTTCAAATAACTGTAATATGCTGAGAAAGTTACATGATTATAAATATGTAAACCTCGTGGATAAAGTATTAACCCAAAGATGGTTTACCATTATTACAATAGTGGTGCAAAAAGAATACACTTTTCAGACCACTGCTCTTATATATTCAGGAGCAGATCTGAATTGCATAAATGAAGGACTAGTTCCAACTAAATATTTTAGCAAAACAACACAGGTGTTAAATACTGCTGATGGTAGTAAAATGATAATAAATTACAAACAGTCTGATGCAGCAGTATGCAACAATGGTGCATGTTTTAAATTTCCTTTTATAATGGTCAAAAGTTTACGCCAACCTGTTATGCTTGGAATTCCTTTCTTAGACATGCTTTACCCCATCAAAATTGATAATACTGGGATAAAAGCTGATATTGAAGGACATGAAATAAAATTTGACTTCATTGGCAAACCTAACGTCCATGAAATAAATAACATTAAAAACAAAATCTCTACCAAAGAGAAATTCCTCTTCTATCTAAAAGAAGAACTAAAATATAAGATTATTAATGAAAATTAACTTTACCTCAAATACAAGGTACAATCAACAATTTCAAAAGGACGTTAGAAAGAGAAGTTTGTGCTGATATTCCTAATGCCTTTTGGAATAGAAAGCAACATATCGTGGAACTTCCTTATGTACCTAGCTTTAATGAAAAAAAAATTCCTACTAAAGCCAGACCAATACAAATGAACAGCAGGCTCTTAGAAATTTGTGAAATTGAGATACAAGAACTTCGTGATAAGAACCTTATTAAGAAAATTTCTTCACCTTGGAGCTGTGAAGACTTTTATGTGGAAAAGACTTCAGAAATTGAAAGAGGAGCACCTCGACTTGTCATAAATTATAAGCCTTTAAATAAAACACTAAGGTGGATCCGTTATCCTGTTCCAAATAAAAAGGATCTTTTAGACAAACTTGTCAATGCCTGTATTTTCTCAAAATTTGATTTGAAATTAGGGTATTGGCAAATCCAAATAATAGAAAAGGATAGGTATAAAGCAACATTTAATGTCCATTTCGGACATTATGAATGGAATGTGATGCCTTTTGGGTTAAAAAATGCCCCTTTAGAATTTCATAATATTATGCACGATATTTTCAATCCTTATACGAGATTTATTATTGTTTACATTGACGATGTCCTTGTTTATTCTGAAAATATTGACCAGCATTAAAAACATCTGAATATCTTCTATAAAGCCATAAAAAGTGCAGGTTTAGTTGTTTTAGCTAAGAAAATAAACATTTTTCAAACTAAAATAAGGTTTCTTAGACACTATCTTTCAAGGAAGAATAATCCCTA